GATTCACTCGAAGAACCAGTATTCAGTAATCAATCTCTTCTCCACCCACCGACTCATATTACTTTTTAGAATTTAGACTCGGTCCACTCACAATGTCATGCCGTTGTGTGTTAATACATCCAGCGCGATTGCTGAGTGTTTTTGTAAATTACTTTCCTTCGTGGGATAAATCATTCCAACCTTAGCTAAATTCTTATGTTCTGATAATATCACTACTCCTGATCTACTAGTTTGACCTGTGTAGTTGAATTAACTCACAGTCACTGCAAAGTATTTTGTAAATTATATTATTTTGTTTAATTGGGTCAACATGCTCCTTAAACCTACAGAGCTTGTACCTGAGTGAATTTGTAGTTTTGAATACCACCTTAATTTCTGCCTTGTTTAGAATCCTACGAAGGGATGGTCTTAGATATCCCCTCCTTATGTGGTGTAACTATAGATATTTAACTGTAGTTAGAGTTAGTCAGACCTGAAAATTTGTTTAATTTGAACTGTGTAATTGAACATATTGTTCTCTGTAGAAAGACCACTTTGGCAGCTGGATACGTCATTGATATTATGTCTTTAATTCGCCTGATAATTCTTTCTCTAATTTTATCACCTTTAAATCTTAATTGAAGTCATACTTATTTCTTTCCCACAGTACTATGCTCTGCCTTCCTTTTATGTTGCGTTTACTGTACCTCTCTATGAATCACTTTGGGTATTCATTGTTCCGCAAACATATCTTGATGACATTGATTCCTTTTTCTAATGTTTCTATGAAGTGAATCAAGTTGACTGAAATGGTATTAAGACTATAGAAGCAAGTCAAGTGTTATTAAAAGATAAAATTTGTACTGACAGACGACCAGAGACTTGGTTGGTAAAGGAATGTTCATTTAGAATTCGGTGTCTCAGCGTAACTCAGCGTAATTTTGTACGTCTTATCTTCAAATCACCATTTGCACAGATCTTTTGTGTTGTGCTACTCTTGTCCTTCATATTGCATTTCTTTGTGTTCCTTTCACGTCTCGCATATTTCTTTGCAACGCTGAATAATTTGCTTTCTCTGACGTCAAATCTGTTTTCCTGCTATTTGATAATTTTTACGCCAACGAAAGTCTCGTGATGTACTACTAATAAATCTAATCAGTAGCACACACCACAAATTGGCGATGAAGTAGTATGTGTTCAAGAGGCGTTAGAAAAACATTTCTGAATACATTGCTTAGTATTTTGTCCATGTATATATAACCAGAGGTTCGGCTAAACAACAGTGGAAATAACATAAATGCTTACGGTGACTGAGAATCAGCACGTAGATAACTGTGGACGGTGAATGGCTTGTGGTTGCTATTAGTTGACTCCAGAAGGTTTTACACATTGAAGACTTCGTCAACCGTAAACATGTAGCTGAACAGTGTATCCGGTTGGGTGATGAAAGGCGAGTATAGGATAATAACATCTTCCATTTATGAGCACCCTCTAAATTCAGGTAAGCCGTAGCCGAAAGCCATTCATCCTGTGAAGTTATCTACGGCGTATCACTGAAGCTCATGCTATACTTGTACAGCAACCTGAACTATGTATTCAAAAACGTCTTCAACGCCATTCCTTTACCTAGGACATTTTAATTATTCCTTCACGTTCCCAGTGGAATGTATGACTTCAAGGTAGAGCTTTGAAGTTTCGGTAGCAGTGGTCTTAACTTTTGCGGAGTGGATTTACTGGTGTCATGCGCAAGCTTCCCTCTTTCCCAGCCTTACTACTCGCTTAGTGAGATTAACATGTTTGTTGGCCGGAGATCAAACCCAAAAACCCCATAAGTGGTTGAGAAGCACTCTACCGCTGTACCACCGATGCACTCACCTGGGTCATAGTAATTTTCCTTTTTTATATTTTACCTGACCTCTTGGGTAAATTCCAATCTACTCCACCTTCTCCATTGTTGTTATGTCATCATTGAAGTTCTAAAATTTTTGAAAAAATGAACTACTCCGAAAATTAATCTCAGTAAGAGTTTGAGCATTGTGGATTAGATCAAATAAAGTATAATTATATTTCAATAGTTTACACACTATGATAAGTTTTGTTATTGGTAATATTTCGAGCAAAATTTCTACTGCCCGTGTTCACACCACTGTTGGAATTGTTTGATTCACACATTGATGATTTGTACTCATACATATATATAGTTCATTATTTTTGCTCATTCATATATTTTTTTTTGGTATTTGAGTTATATTCGACGTTCATTCATGTGTTTGTATTCAGAATTATATTCCAAGTTGTTGATAGTTGTACTTAGTCACCCTTGTTACATGTATCCGGTGTGACTTTAATGAATATCGATTCTGTTATAAGTCTTTCTTTCCATTTGTTCATGTTAGTTCATATTCAGAATACACACATTGTTCCAATCGATATTGTGGTTTTTGTCCCATGCATGAATTTTTTTCAAGATTCTTGTAGGCTTGTGTTCCTGTTGGTTGACCTTTGGTTAGGTGTTTATGTTCATTCACTCTTATTTTGAGTGATCTGGACGTTTGCCCAACATATTTATTCTGACAGTCAGCACAAGATATTTTGTAAATCAAGTTGTTTTTATCCATCATTTTTATGGGATCTTTCAGTTGATTTATTTTATTTTTGATTAGATTTGTCGGTTTGAAAGTTGTGTGAATGCCGATATTTTTGAGGTTTCTTTGAATTGCCTCTGATGTACCATTTTTATATGGTATTGTGACTGCATTTTGCATTCTTCCATCTTGTTATTCTCCGGTTTTACCCTCTTTTTTCTCTTTTTTATATTATCCTATATAAATTCTTTTGGGTACTTGTTTTCGAGTAGCATTTTGAATAGGACATTTATTTCTTTACATTGGTCCTCTGGCGTTGTTGTAAGTCTACGTATTCTATCTGCAAGACCTTGTATTAATCCTCGTTTCACCGTGAGTGGATGAGCTGAGTGATAATCAAGGAATCTTCCAGAGTGTGTGGTTTTTCTATATAGCGTCGTTTTAATGCTACCATCTGTTATTCTTTGTAAATATGTGGGACAAACGTCCAGATCACTCAAAATAAGAGTGAATGAACATAAACGCCTAACTAAAGGTCAAGCAACAGGAACACAAGCCTACAAGAATCTTGAAAAAAATTCATCGATAGCTGCACATGCATGGGACAAAAACCACAATATCGATTGGAACAATGTGTGTATTCTAAACACTAACATGAACAAATGGAAAGAAAGACTTATAACAGAATCGATATTCATTAAAGTCACACCGGATACATGTAACAAGGGTGACTCAGTACAACTATCAACAACTTGGAATATAATTCTGAATACAAACACATGAATGAACGTGGAATATAAGACGTTTAGGAATGAGATAGTGGCATTAATCTCTTTGTCTGTGGTAACGTTTAATACTGAATGGGCATCATTAAACTTGTCAGAGATGTTCACTGCTTCATTCTTGTTTTTCAAAAAGCAGAAATGTATCATCCATATATCGACAGTAGAAATCATACTGATTAATCACTCCTTTCGCGTCAGTGGCATAGCGGTTAGGACGCTCGCCGACCATGCACATGGTCCAGGGTTCGATACCCGGCCACCGACGCACTCCTTTACCTCGCTAAGCCAGAAATAATGCTGTTGAAGAGGTAAGGTTGGGCATGAGGCTAGCAACCCCATCCTGTAAAATAAACACTGCTACAGAAACCTCAAGCCACTAGTTTGAAGCCTTATGTTCCACTGGGGAACGTGACGGAAAAATAATCACTCCTTTCAGTGATCCATTCTCTAACTTAGCGAGAGAAAAATCAGCTTATATAGTACTCATTAATTGTTGGATTTCATTACAAACTGATATCCGTTACAGGGATCACTGAAAATCAGGAAGCACTGGTGTTTCCTCACAGTTAGAGACTCTGTAGCAGTGCGCACCTCTGACTCTAATAGACATTGAACCAGGTAACTTCAGTTTTGAGACGAGACCAAGGTTGTTGATAACTCAGTCATCTGAGTAGGAAATCTATGACCTATGAATTCTTACTTTATCAGTAGATGACTTAATGCTACTGTAGAGAAGAAAAGATCAACGAGGATCGAAGGAATCTGTCAAGGAACTTAACTCTGAGTTCCTATTATCTCCGAAGATGCTCGAACCGATAATTACTTAGTACGATATTGACCTGAATTCCAAAACACAAGGACCAAAAAGAAGTTGTATTGTTCGGCAGTTAAAGTCAATACTCTTTAAAAAGTCTATAAACAAATATTTTACAAGGAATGTATTGTACTTTGATTCATATTTCTTTGTCTTCTTCCAACTTATACACGATTGAATCCTTCGCGCTTTCTAGTTGCCCGCCAATGGCGACCAAGGCCAATGAACAAACATTCAATGTTCACATTCATTTACAGGATCTTTATTAGAACAAACGTATTGCAGGTACACAAATTTAGTACACCTTATCTTCAATGGTTTATTTGCACATAAGTCGAATATCGTCACTGCATTCGATAGCTTGTGGGATTCCATGCAGTGTTTGTAACGTTCTTCTTACAGTTCTCTGCTTCGATTGCCTTTTTCTAGTGTTCAAAGCCTACTGTTACTTTTCTGAATTCGCTTACTGTTATACTACTTATATTTGATTATAAGTAGCACTCACCACACTACCCTTGTGAGTGCCTTCAATGAACATTCACTTCACACGTGAACATGGCGGACTCCATTGTTCACGACTTCTGACTACACCTTAAGGAAATCAATGCAGTAGCTAATAATTGGCTTGAGATTGAATTCTGACACAGTTGACTGAACGGTCAGTAGATTTAGTCTTGTAATCATGAGAATGAAACAGATATTCTAGCATTGCTCCTTGATTTCTAATGATCTTTTTTATAATTGATGTTGATTCGTGACGGAGCTCAAATGTGTGAAATGATTTTTTGCAGCTTTGTTGTTTAACTCTCCTCCCCTCCATGCTTACACATTTTGTAGCTCATACCAAAATGTGGGCTGTATTTACACTTCCAATACTCACTGTCTGCTTTAAAGATGGCAAACCAAGTTCTGAATATGGTCCAATAAATCCAACGGATAATGCTACATACACGTACTTACGTCCAATTTTCCATGAAGTCCTCAGTGTATTCCCTGATAGTATGATACATCTGGGCGGTAGAGATGTGTCATATGAATGTTGGTAAGTTTGAAAGTGTTAACTTAACCTCATGTTTCGCTGTAACAGTCTTAGAGTTTTCGACTTTTTATTCATATTCGCCTGTGTTTCGAATGGTATATAGGGCGTCAGTAGAACATATTAATTTCGTCCTATTCCTCACAGTCCCTCAGAGATTGCTCTATGATAACTGATGAGCACTTAACTCCTACTGACATCCTCTCTCCTCTGTTACTCTCCATCTCAAGCCTCTACTGGTCGTTTCCTATGCGCTTCAATTCGAAGACCTTGATGTCATGATGTCACTAGACAGCCTTGTCAGCGTGTGTCCAATCCACCTCAATCTCCTTTGACACATTTGATAGGCAATAAGGATTTTGATTGGTTCGTTATCAGAGTTATTTATTGCTTATACACTCTGGTCGGCCGTCTGTTCATAGAAGTCTGTCTCTAGCCTGTATGGTGATCCGCCATGTATCCAAACCATAAAGATGCACTTGAGTACTTGATAACATCGTTTTAAAATCCAAATGTAGTGGATTTCCTGGCTAATTTTAGATTTTCTATAGTTGGTTTGTAAGGATTAGTTTTGTTTTTACGAGTTGATCACGGATTGATATCAGTTAATGAACCATCGATGTATGTAGACAATTATGGACATGAAATTGTTTCGAAAAATGTAGAAATTTTAAACAGCGTCGTAAAAGGGAAATCGCTACCAGAGTATTCCTAGAATCCTAGCAAGCAGGTGAATCAGCAATTAACAGACATATTACTCTGGATAAAATTTGTGAATCAATAAAAACAACGGCTTACATGTTTTTCTATAGTTTGGTTTGTAAGGATTAGTTATGTTTTACGAGTTGATCACGGACCAGGGAATACTGGACAGCTGCTGTGTCAGCCTAGTTTGTGAGTCATCGGCAGTACGCGCCCACTGGAATTTGAACCCAGGACCTTCCAGTTACAAGGCAAGCTCGTATACCATTCAGCCACTTGGACCCGATTCAATGGCTCATGAATTCTAACTTCTACCAATTCGTGATTTAGCGCGACCCCAACCATTGTCGTTGTTGGGATATCCATCGACACACGTGACTTCTAATTGGACCTCACTGGTCACGACTTCTCACTAGAACTCCAGGAAACTCCATCCTGTAGCAAGTCACTAGCGAGCATCAGATTAATTACATGACAAAGAAGTTTAGAATTCCAAGTCTGCAAGAAAAAGGATTAATCAAGGTATACATTAACATTCAATCACGACAGAGTTGGTCACCCATAGGGAATCCAAAAGAATTAAAATCATCTTGTGAACAATACACAATTAGGTTTCTAAAGTGATAACCAGCACCACTAACGTTATGAAAATTAGATAACAGTGTAGCCTGATATGTAACTGTCTTTGCTGACTACTGAATGTGAAATGTGTCAACCTCCAGTGAATGATGGCTATCTTTGTTTTGTTACAGGATTTTCATCATGAGCTAACATTACTTAGAGAACCATTGAAAAACCAGCTGTGAGTACTGGACAGCTGTTTCGTCCTAGTTTGGGACTCTTCAGCAGTACGCATCCACCGGGATTCTAACCCGGGACCTTCTGGTTACAAGGCGAGCTCGCATACCATTAAGCCACTGGGACCCGACCCAATGGCCCATGAATTATGGTGCTACTTTGTTTGAGTTTTATCCACCCGCCTGTTTATTATGGCATTTCAATTCCTAATTGTAATTTTACTAATTTTACCCTTGACAGGAAATTATTCTGGAACTTTCTCACCCATTTATTATAAATACACGAATGTACAGCCTAGTTGATGACTTCGTCCAAAATAAAAGTTTCTCCACCGCAACTGCAGTTTTGAAAGTAAAGTGTTGACACCGAAACTAACTATTACCGTTAAAATATAAAGGTAGATCGTGTCCGGAATCGACATCGCTTAGTGAGGCATTTCTGTTCACTGCTTCTTAAGAAGAAATCTCCTCCTAGTTTTAATTTATCCAGAAGCATGCACGTATGGTGATTTCCTATGTTACTGTAGTAATTTGATGTTCAGCAGCTTAGCGGTAAAAGCCACAACTATTGTCTCATTATTTCCATGTATGTACGTTTTGCGTTATTTCAATTCTTCAGGAAATCCAATCCTTTCATCCGGAACTTTATGAATGACAAAGGATATGGGGATGACTACACAAAATTGGAGAGTTATTATTTTCAGCGACTTATGACGACTATTCTAGGCGCAAATTCATCAGAATGGACAGCATCACCGATTGTTTGGCAAGATGTATTCGAGAATGGATTTCGTGTAAGTTGTGATTTTTTCTAAACACTTTTCTTTGAGTTAAGTTGTTTTTAAGCATCTCAAACAAACTACAGACCTTCATTAACAGCTAGCTGTCTTCGCTCAATACTACTCAAGATCAGATGGCCGGCCAGAAAGATCAGCAACAGAGAAAGATCTCTGGCAATGAGCGAACCAACACAGCAGGAACCGATTGTGAAACAAATAGGCAGGAAGAAATGGAGATGGATTGGCTGGCATACTCTGAGGAAACCATCAAGTGACATCACTAGACCCGAAAGGGAAGCGGCGAGTTGGTCGTCAGTGCAAGGGTGACTTGGAGGAGGTCATGTGAAGAGGAGATGAAAACGTGTGGGCAGACATAGAGCCAGGTGAAGACTCTAGCAAAGGACCGAACGCAATGGAGACGCACGGCTGAAGCCCTATGTTCCTCTAGGAATTAAAGGATACAATAATAATAATAAGCAGTTGATTTCAGATAGTTTAATCACGATAACCGTTAGGTTATTTGAGGTATATTCTAGAGAATCGGTCAATAAACTCGATATCGATCTGTATGACTACACGTCAATCGACAGAAGACTAGGACAGTTATAGTGGTTGGATCTGTTTATTCAACACACAGAGTACCGGTTGTTTTAGGCGGATCGCAATAGCCTCTTCTGTTTGGAGGAATGCGGAACCTGGATGCTATTGACACTTTATCTGGTACTCGATAGATGATGGCGAAGGTTTAGTCAATGCTAGCTCACTTTGTGGCCAGCTTGGAGCAGGTAATCTAATATCGAACTATTGATGCTTCCTCAGTACGCCTTTATTTAAACACAGTGGCAGATGTTCTCGAGCAAGCACGAAAAATCAAGTTCCTAGAGCAATAACCAATATAACTAGTCCCATCACAAGTGCAGTTGAATTGGTAGACACAATTAAAGGTGGTTAGTCTAGTCTAGGTGATTCATCTTTCAATTGATAAATCGCTATCGGTAGTGTAGAAAAAATACTTGTAATGTGCCAACATTAAAAGTTCTTTGAACCGATTTTCTTAACTTCTTCAAAATTTGTTCGCTGGGTATATCGCCTTTGAATTGCAGTCATATGTATAAAAGCTTTTTGTTCACGGACCGTCCTTGGACAGTTCTTTTCAGCATTCTTAGTCATATATTTTCTGATGAATTTGTCTGGATAACTTTTTCAATCAAGATATCTTATAAAATCCTTAGTTCATCTTCAATTACCACTTCTGAGCACATACCTCTGACCCTGTGGCTATATTCATCAAACATGCTTGAATTAGGTGAGGCATATTCAAAATAAACACCGTTATGTTTGAATAACTCGAGAATTTGCAATTAAAAGTGTTCTCTGAGCTGGTTGGTTCAGTTGCGGAGCTTTCGTCGTCCCCCTGCTGAACAACATTTTCAGCGCAATATTTAGCCTAAAGTGAAATGATTTAAATTTCTTCATGAGTGATATAACAGCGTCTCCTGGTAACCATCTTTACACATGTATTGACCACTTTCTATTGACTTGGATTTTAAACTTTCTGGTCACCTGATTTACTTTTTATTTGTTGGTAAATTTCGTCTATATTAACGTGTTTGTTAATTACATTTTCGTTTGAGTACCAGGCTCCTAGGAATTTCCTGGCACCTTTCGTGTTTCCTCTGTCTAAGATTTTTGACATTATCCTAATCAAATTGATGACCATAATTGTCTATATGCATTGATACTAAAGAATACATATCGTGTCTTTTCACGGCTGATTTGTGTTCTTGGATTCTGATTCGAAGGGGACGCCCACTTTGGCCGATGTAATGCTTGTTGTTATTTTGTAAGTGGTATTAATTTTATCTCCTTTTTCCGTTGGATCTTTTGGTTTGCATAATATCGAATTAAGCGATTTGACTGGCTTGTATGCTATATCTGCATCAAGCGGTTTCAGTATTCTAGCTGTCATTTCAGAGATATTTCCCATGTATGGTAAGATGAATTTTCTTGTGGTCTTTGATGATGATTTCTTGTTGGTGTTTTGATTCGACTTTAAACACTTTTTGATGAAATTCTGTGGATAAGCATTCTTTTTGAAAACCGTTTTTAGGTATTTTTCTTCCATTCTTTTCAACTCTGGAGTGCTACAATGTGTTTGAACAATGTGTGTTTAGACAATGTCTGCCTACAGTTTCGTTTGTGAGCAACTGGATTATTGCTAGTATAGTTGAGTATTCGATCTGTGTGCGTTGATTTTCTATATACTTGTGTTTCTAAATCTCCTGTGTTGGTTCTCCTGATTAAAACATCTAAAAATAGGATTTTGTTATCTAATTCTTCTTCTCTTGTGAATGTGATGTCTTCAAATATGTTGTTTATTAATTTATGAGTATATTCTAAATCATTTCTCTTAATTATCGCAAATGTATCATCAACGTAACGTACCCAGATTTTCGGTTTAATTATAGATAGAGCTATCAATTCTAGTCTTTGCATAACAGCTACAGCTGCTAATCCTGATATGGGCGATCCCATTGGTGTTCCTTTTATTTGTTCATCTATTCGAGTATTGAACTAAAAGTATGTTGTAAGGCATAATTTTATGAGTTCTATCCAAGTTGATAATTGCGTTTTTATGTTTTCATCACTATAGAATAATTGTTGCATAGTTTCTGTTGCTAGTTTTGGACTAATTGAAGTATATAATGCTATGACATCAAAGGACACCATTATTTCATTGTCTTCTACTTGAATGTTTTTGATTTTCTCTAAACATTGGATTGACGAATTGATAGAATGGTCGCACGATTCTGTTAGACAATTTAATTTCCTGAAAAGTTCTTTAGATAGATTATATGTTGGTGTTCCTGGAAGCAAAACGATTGGTCGTAAGGGAATGTTTGGTTTGTGTAGTTTTGGTCTACCACAGAATCGAGGTATATTTAAATCATTTCACTTTAGGCTAAATATTGCGCTAAAGATGTTGTCCAAAAGGACGACGAAAGCTCCGCAACCAAACCAACCAGCTCAGAGAACACTATTAATTGCAAATCATCCACCTGAGCTACAAATCTTCTCTGTCATTTCATAACTCGAGAATATTCTGCACTATCCTTACTAGATTTCTAAACGAGTACTACCATTATGACCTTGATTTCAAGAATTCTTTCCATTCGCTTCTACGATCACATATTCACCAACACTTCTCAAAGATGACAAACAGTGTAATCCAATCTGTTAAAATCTCTATTCTCATGTATTGCTTATATCATGCAAAAGAAAGGTTGATCTTAATTAATACTAATTCAGTGGACGACGAATGCTTAGTCCCTAAAGCGAATGTATTCACCAGTCAATTAGATATATAGCCATTTTTAGACATTCAGGTTGACAGAATGGTGGGGTAGAGCATGCAGTGTTGCTTCAGTAAGCCGATTCGTCTTTGCAGTCTCCCTTGACGTGATACTTATCTGTAGAGTCAGTTAACTCACTGATTACTCTTGAGTAAATATGAATTCATATTGGCTTCTAACTGTTTTGTGAACCCGAAATAGACATCTCGATTGGGAATGATCCTTCCAAGCTCCATAAGTCACTAGTTTGGTCGGTATAAGGAATTCGCTGATATAATTAAACTTTGATAAAAAAACAAGTGGATCAAAACCACATTCATACTAACAGTCCAGTGTGCAGAAGTCTTTGCTCAGCTGTGGCGTTCACCATACAGCGATCTAACAAGAGTAACTGCTTTCCAAATCTCATTTTATCTTTATGAATGTCTGAAAAATTATTTTCATTGAAACAAGAATAATGGGATTTTTGCATAATTTGTCAACTTCATATCTTCCACTTCTCACCTTTAGGAAGAAGTTCCTGTCATTGTTCACTTGTATAAACCTGGTTGGGAGCAAGTTTTGGATGATGTCACAAAAGCCGGATATACAGCCATATTGAGTTCATGTTGGGATTTGAGTACAGTGGAACCTGGTGATGACTGGAAGAGAATCTATGAATGTGACTCTATTTCATTTGAAGGTAAAATTAGTTACTTTTTATTCGACCTTTGATGTATGCATTACTCTAAAGTTATTGAATTGAAACAATCTCATAACTGGAACGATAATTGCCAAAAAACATTGTTTTAACAATTTAACAAAAGAAATATTTTGAAAATTCATAAGACGTGGTAACAAAATGAATGAAATGGTGAGTTGCCTGGTGAGTAGTAACCAGTGAATATTTAGAGAAAACACACCTAGAGGCGTTGAAAGAACAATGACAGAAGATTTGGTTGAAAATAATTATCCAGAGAGGTTTCTAAGAAGATAAAGCGATCAGAATTCAACATGACAGTCCACATATACCACCAGCACACGCACAGAAACGACAGTGGACAACAATTCTCCAACGAGCGCAGAAATACTAAATGCGATCAAGCTACTGAACACTAACGAGAAGGCAGCAGAGGCACATGGAATACCGCCGAAGCACTAGAAACGGACTCAGAGACTGCGGCATATACGCTCACATCACTAGTGAAGAAGATTTGGAAGGAAGGAAAGGCGCATGCCAATTGGAAGAAAGGCTACCTTGTCAAGCTGCCGAAGAAGGCCGACTTAGGCATCTCTCTGCTCTTGTCCACACCAAGTGCAATACTTAGTCGCGTCATCCTGGAGAGAATGAAAAATGCACTGAATGCAGAACACCGCCAGCCCGAGACAAGCTGGATACAGGAAAGGCAAACCTTAAGCCAATCAAATTGCAACTCTACGCATCGTCCTCATAGAACAAAGCATAAAATGGCAGTCAACTTTATACCTCAATCCCATCCATCGACTTAAAAAGGCCTTCAACAGACAGCGTCGAACAAGAAATAATTTGAAATATGCTTCAACACTACGGTGTGCAGTGCCCAATTCTCTATCAACCTCAACCTTATTCAACGGCTGGCTGTATAACGGTGGCACGTGTCAGGTGATACACAAATGGAAACTCAGCGAGGCGTTTGGAGTGAATTTAGGAGTACAACAAGCTGATTACCTATTATCATCGAAGATATCCTAACTGCGGTGAACTGTATTATGCGTCAGACTATGATAACTGAGGTAAGAAGACCTTAGGAGATCTGAATTCCACGTGCGGATGGCTCACATTCAATCTCACACACAGGAACTCGAAAACCGATAGGCGAGAACCAACAAACTGGCTGAAGAAGCAGCCATTGAAGACAGGACTTCACTCCAGGTGAACAGAGGTGATGAAAGTAACCAACCGACCAACAACGGAAACGCTGACAACCAGCGCCAATCAACATCAATGGGAGAGATTTGATAGAGGTGATTTCTATTCAGTTATCTAGGCAACCAGCGTTGTTTCAACTACAGGCAGTCGGTACGGATGAAGATGTCAACAAAAGCCAGACGGGATCAAAAAAGCAATATACGCCTTCATCAAACTGAACCCAGTTTGGCAATCTTCTGCTCTCACTCAGACAGCGTAAAGAACAAGATTCGGACTCTGTTTAACACTAATATGAAGTCCATCATTCAGTTTTTCTATACGGGTCAACATCCTGCGCTGCACATGAGTCGCGAAAAGGATTTCCGACAAGTCACTGCAGACTTTATCAACAGCTACCACCTTAGCTTTCTGGATTGACACTGAAGATCAAATAGCCGGCTGATGGGCTGGCCAGAAAGAATTAGCAACAAGAAACTATGCAGTTGAACAAACCGACACGTGACAGCCGATTTCTCAACAAATATGTATTTTTTATTTTATTTTTTTTGGATATAGCTTGAAGCCACACTGTATTTTTGGTACAAGTATGGAATTTTCAGCATGAGATATCGGTACCCCAAATTTTGCAGGCCGACCATAGATGTCGGCAGGGGATTGAACCCCGGACCATGTGCATGATCGGCGAGCGTCCTAACCACTGTGCCACCGACGAGAAAATGAAAATGGATGGATTGGACAGATACTGAGGCCATTGCGCATTAGCCACGCTATCGTCCGAGTCGAATCCCATTAGGAAGTGACGAGTAACCCGTCGGTGCGAGGGTAACATGGGGGAGATCGTTTGGGTGGGAGGAAAAGATGAGAGATTATGGGTAATGTTGGAGTCAGCCAGCTGAAGAAGACATCACCAAGTAGAACAAAGGAGAGATGTGTTTTTGAAGCCAAATGTTCGACTCAGAACCTAAAGGAATGATAATGATACAATCAGCCAACAAGAACGTGTGTCGTCAGATTATTCGACAGGTGTTCAGCGAATACGCATACATAAGACGATTCATATTTTGTCAAAAGTACCGTTTATCCACTGTGGCAAAGTAAACTAGTAAATCCATACCTTCATACTTTTTGTTTTTCATTCGAAATGTGCGGTGATTAAAAGGCGTATTTAAGATCTCTGATTATGCCGCAGTATTATAATGTGCTATAAGATGTTTCCATTCCCACTTTAGGTGGTAAAAGGTCTTATTAAACATACCGAAACAATTTCTACAATGAACTGAACTGTCTCTCAATGATAACATCTACGAGTTGACTTGTAGGCACACACAAGTGACTCTACGAACGAATTCATAGTGTATACAGATGAATATGAAAGTAGTGAGCGTTGGAAACTTGAAAGTGCAGAAGCTCACTTACGCCAGAGAGTCCTAATTTTCACATAAAGCGTGTTAGATGGAGTATTGCTTCATAAATATTTGAAATATATGACAATCACGGTATATCAGGAAATTGGCATAGTACACTATATGTTAAAACAGTCATGACAACAGAACAATGCAAGTTATTTTGGAGAAAACGAGTCCACTGAAGGGTTACTCTTTTCATTTTCAGTTGTAAACCTACCTGGGAAGCATCATTTTAACAACAGGTGGATGGAAATGATGAGGATATCAAAGCAGCGAGGATCGAGGAAGCAAGACAAGCTTTCATTTCTCTAAAGTCTCTGTTGAGGTCAACAGTACTTAGCATGAAATCTAAGAACTGGATTTACAACTCCAATGTGTATTCAGTGTTCCTTTATAGACCAAAGACTTGGCGTGTCATGAAGAGCACTTCAAGCAAACTACAGACCTTCACCAACACCTGTCTTCACTCAATAATACTGAAGACCAGATGGCCAGCCAGAAAAGATCAGCAACAGGGATTTCTCAGAACGAACAAATCAGGAACCGATTGTGAAACAAATAAGCAGGATGAAATGGATGTGAGTTGGCCATAATCTGAGAAAACAAACCATCAAGCGACATCACAAGACAGACATTCAAGATGAACCCAAACGGGAAGCGGCGAGTCGGTCTTCCAAAGGCGACATGGAGGAGGTCATGTGAAGAGGAGACGAAAGCATTTGGATAGACGTGAAGCCAGGTGATGAAAATGTTGGCAGAGAACCGAATGCAATGGAGACGTGCGGCTGACGCCCAATGTTCCTCTAGGAACTAAAGGAAACAATAATATAATAGTAAATTCCATAGATGTGTCATTGAAATTATGAAAGTGTTAGATTACAGCTAAGTAACACAAAAGGCGTCAATCGTGTAGAAATTAAAATAAAACTGCAACAACAGAAGGCTAGACACGGAAGTCAAGGTATATTTTCAATTGATCAAACCTCTCTTTAAATATATACAATCTATATTCTTTGACCAATCACTGAGCGTGTGATTTCAAGCGATAAGAAATACTATGATCAAAGATACATAGAATGTTTTTGTTAATGCAGTATAGAACCATGGGAAATGTATTCCGTCTGTAACATCAAACAGAATGTTCAAATAGATATATCGTGTTATGTTGCTAATACCGAGTTAAACTGTAGGAATATGTGAGAATAATATTCCCTTGGAACACATTGTCTCTATCACACCACTACAAAACAAAGTAAGTAAATTGCATGAAGCGGTGTAATTGACAAGATAGAGAATAAGTAAACTAATATTGAAAGACGGTCAAGTGATGGTCATTGTCGTTAGGATTAGAAATGTAATTGATGCTTTATGAAGGCTAGTGCACTGTTTACCTTCTCCGTTTTCATTTTCTAACTCAAATGTAAGCTGTATTTTCACTAACAACGACTTTATATGTGAGAAGAAAATACTCCCACGTTGTTAACTCCTGTAATTAATCAATCAAAGCCCTACTAGCCAATACTTGAATATCAGTGAGATGCACACTAGTGACTGGCCCTATGCATGTAGATAGTTACCTGGGGTTCTAGTACGAAATCGTGACCAGTAGGGTGTATCCGGGAGGTCGTGAGGACAAATACTCGCCAGAGATGACATTGGCTAGTGGTCATGCTATGTCTTGAGTTGGCAGAAGTTATAATTCATAGGCTGATCATTGTATAAGGTCCCAGTGGTTGAATGGTCTACGAGCTAGCTCGCATTGAAACCAGAAGGTCCTGTGTTCGGTGCCCTGAGGTGGGTACGTACTGATGAAGATCCCCGAGCTAAGCTGATGAAATAGTTATCCAGTACACCCAGTTAGTTTTCAAATGGTTCTCTAACCGACATCAGCTCATGGTGTAATCCTGCAACTAATCAGTCAAATCCTTACAAACTAGTACCTGGAAATCAATGAGATATATTCTATTCTTAATACAGTAGAAGTGTCATCAACACATCTTAACCATGTCTGTGGAGTAGGATTAAATGCTCTGAGAGCTATATTTTCCAAAGTAACCCTAAAGACTCCCATTAAGATTTGTGGATATTGATCTTCCTCTTGCTATCCCTTCTGTTTTCCTAAATATTTTGCCCCACATGAGTCAATCGGTGGTGGTGACTAGAAGTGGAATCCAAGATGCGCATTTCGTCCTATTTGAGACTCGTCAGTTACCTGGATGTACCTGCACTTCCCAGTGAGTGATAATGTTCCCACTGAGGCTTTAACCCAGTGCCCATAGTTTCAAACACAAAAGCGTCGAAGAGTCTGGACAAGAAGCCAACACGTCAACCTGAGACCGAGTACTTCGGTTCAATCAATTGACGGAAAAATCTAAAATTGAATTAAATAATTAATGTGACCCGTTGCACAAGAGGTAGCTCTCGTGACCCAAGTGGTCTAGTTGATAAGGCTTTGGCATTTAAAACTATGAGCAATGGGTTTGAGCCTCGGTGGGAACATTATCACTCACTGGGAAATGCAGGTACATCCAGTGGATGACGAGTCCCAACTAGGAAGAAATGCGCGTTATCCTGCATTTCACTGATAGTCACTATCCACCAATTAAATTCTAATTAAATGCTCAGAGATTGTCGAAGCATCTGCACAAGAAGTCGAGATGGCAACCTGAGATCGAGCACTCTGGTCCAATCAGTCGAATGGAAAATCTAAAATTTGACCGAGTAATTTAGCCCTACAATTTGAAAATAGTAGACTGAAAACATAACTGAATTCCAAAAGTAGTAATAATGGAATTATATAATGGGAAGTTTAGAAAGTTATCTGAATACCTTGATGTGATTGTCAGCGGCAATATTTTGTGCTCGAAAAACGTTGTCGTCAGTAAATATCAAGCTAAGGTCCACTTAATATTTGACCTCAGTGATGAATTTCTGTTATATGAATTGAAATTTACAATTTCACAAAGGTAATTAGGTTGAAGTCAAGACTTCAAAATATTTTTAGTTTTCATTTATAATTTAATTTCTTACAAAGTGTTCACTTGACAGTATACTGATAGCCAGATTAATATGAAGACATTATTTCTATTCAGCCACAGATGAACAGTTCAGCTTGATAGTTGGAGGAGAAGCTCTATTATGGGGTCAATACATTGATGATGCCAACCTATTCACTGAAACATGGTAAGTCTGTATAATGCAACATCATCAAATATTTCTTATATGGGTGGGTATAAACTGTGTGAATACCCATCATTCTTTCTCGGAAATAATAGTCCCTAAAATACACACAATTAGATCAAATTATATTGAATTACTGGTGGATAATTTCAACAGGATACAATTATATATTCATTATAATAAAGGTTTACTTGTATTTCCCAATGAGTGAAAAACAAAACGATATTGTTGTTTTTACTGACGTTTCGCTATTTAAAGCTGCTAATAGCTTTATCAAAGTAGTAATATTAAACCGGAATTTACAAAATCTCAGCATGTATATAACAAAGAGTTAAGGGGTGAGAAAATAGACTTAGGTCAAGTTAAAAGGACATATTGAAAGTCAAAATAACAATGAAGATCACTAAACCAAATAACAAAGGTAATAGTACATCTGTTATGATATCAAAATAAAGTTTACTAACTTGATCATCGTTCGTCAGTCTGGGGTCATTTTTGCGTTATCAAGTTGGTCATTTGGTAAAGATAACAAAATCAAGTATAGATTGTTGGATTTGATCAGTGTTTAAAATTATAAAGGCAGTGTGTGTTTACATAGTGAACTTGCATATCACATTCGTGTTGATTTTGTCACTTCATGGGGCAGGGAGGTGTTGTAACCAGGTCAGATTCTGTTTTAGTCCATCATTCATTTTCAAGCAATTTGGATTCCACTTGATCTGAAGTGCTTCTGATGATATTAGACGTTCTTTGTGATTTCTGAAGTTTTTCTGGATTATTTCAATATTGTCAAAATCAATTTTGTGACCTGATTCTATAGCATGTAGACCTATGGCTGATGATTTTTCAAGTTTTTTCCAGTTCAACCGGATTTCTCGGTGGTCGAACAGATGCTCTACGGTGTTCATTTCTTCTGATTTTGATTTCTCAAAATGTTTGTCCGATGTATATTGCATCACATTCCAAACATTTTCTTCTATAGACACAATTAGATAGAGAATCTCTAGGGATCTGGTCTTTTATATGGACAAGGTTGTTTCGTAGTGTGTCTGATGTTTTAAAGAAAACTCTAATGTCGAGCTGATTGAGTACTCTCCTGATATCATCTGACGTATCTGATGGTCTATATGGAATGACAACTGTCGAGGTCCATGTTTTCGGAATGCGTTTTCGGTCATACTTAATGTCTGTGTTGATTTTGTTGATGAAGTTCCTTGGGTAGTTGTTTTGCTTGAGAGTTTCAGTAATGTTTGATATTTATTTTACTTTTTCTTTCTCATCCGTTATCAGAGAGTGTGCTCGTCTAAGATATATATATATATACTTATATATTGACACATAAAAAAATATTGCGTCACTGAAATTTCCATGGATAGAGCTTCCTGTCCCACTATCAATATAATAATTAAGGAGGGAAAAACATCCTCTGACTGATGTCAGCCAGTAATAAAACCTCTGACCAATCAAATCTCTCGGCAAACTGAAACGAACACAGTCAATCAGATACTCACTAATGACTGGCTCTATACTAGAAGCTACCTGGAGTTCTATTTAGACGTCGTGACCAGAAAGATGATCCATCAAGTCACTCAAGCGAACGGTTACTCACCTATGTCACTGGCTGGTAACTGCGCTATATGTATATCTCAAAAGTGGTAGAAGTTTGAGTACATGGGCCATTGGATAGGGTGGTGGTGGTAGTAAGTGAATGGTCTAACAGATTGCCTTGTGAGCGGAAGGTCTTGGGTTCGAATTCCGGTTTTTGTGTGTGTGTGTGTGCTTCTAAAGTGACCCAAACTACAAATAAACACCTAAGCAGTACTCCCTGGATTTTCAGTAGTCCACTAATCGATGTCAGCTCGTTATCAAAAGACTGAGCGAAGAATATTCATTTCAATAACTTCCTCTTCATCAAGTTCTACTATAATATTCATTCATAATAATAATAATGGAATTAAAAGAAACAAAGAATTCAGTGAAGAAAATTCTCTTTCTGACAATTTCATCTTCATAGTTGTATAATCGTATATATATATATATAGAGAGAGAGATAGACAATAACAATCAGTTTCCTTCTGTATGTGTGCGTTGAAGTTTGACACTGAGTGGAAATACTAAAGTGCTATAATAATATTGGTGTACTGGATTATGCGTCACAATTGATGATCAGATAGACAAGTGTGAAATGGATGATCGGAAAATAAAGTACGTTCGGAAATGTGAACATGTGAATTTAATTTAATGATGGAGACGACATAGGATGAGTGAAATGTTGTCACAAGAGTAGTAGACTATATATATAATATTAGAATGTGATATCATGAAGTGAAATGAAATGAAATAAAACAAAAATGGAACATGGAATAAAGAAGGATAACAAAGTTGTTATGCAAATTACATAGTAAAATCAAGACCATGGTAACTAAAGAGATCGTACAAACTGTTTTTGTACACAAAGTTTTGACTTTATGTGTTATGCATTGTCAACGCCTCTGTTATGCAAAGCAAATGCGCTCGTGTCTCTTTCGACAAACTTTGTCGGACTTTATAGAATATACTGAACGATGTGTCAGGTGTTGCGTGATTAGTATCTACAATATGTTGCAAATATCGTGAACTGATACCTCTACGTTCTCCTTTGCTCAGTCAAACTGAGAGGTGCTGAGGTCGAACGAGGCGGGATATGTTTCTCGATGAACGTCCTAATAGCTTCAAGATAATGAGATTGCTGAGCAAACAATAGATTTTTTTTGATAACTTCTTGACTGGGTTCTACAGTCACTAGCATTCATAATAATTCAGGAATTATGGTTATTATTGATAACATTAATGTGCTTTGTAAAATAATATCGAATGGGTGACATCAAAATTTCAGAAGTTATTTGTTAATAGATTGTTAATGGATTAGAGTCCATAATATATATATGAATGTATGTCGTAATATGTTTAATTGTAACACCAAACTGAACACCTGCATTCCAAAGTGAAATTGATCATGAATAACGAGAAATACATGGTAGTAATGAATGCTCATGACTAATTTTTCAATTATTATTATTCCTTTGGCTTCCGAGTGGAACATAAGGCTCGAACAACACATCTTCAATTTCCTATATTTTCTGCTATCCTCTTCAGCTGGCTGGCTCAACCACTGCCCGAAATCTCTCATCTCCTCCTCCTCGCCACACGATCTCCTCCATGTCACCCTCACACCATCAACTCATTAGTCGCTTCCCATTGGGATTCCAGTCGAGTGATGGCCTATATTCCGCGCCATGTCATTTGACGGCCTCTTGAACATATGCCCAAACCATCTATCTCAATTTTCTCCTACATATTTGTTGAGCAATTGGCTCTCGCCTGCTGGTTTGTTCTCAGCCAGCCAGAGTTTCTTGCTGCTAATTCTTTCCGACCAGCCGGCCGGCCATTTGATCTGCAGTGTGAAGCCAGCGATGGGGACAGCTGTTGATAGAGGTCTGCAGTGACTTGTAGGACTGAAGCACAGTTTACGTTGCTTACCCGTTATATAAGAACTGACTATGTGACTTCACATTAGTATTGTACAGAATCCGAATTTTGTTCTTTACTCTGGCTGAGTGAGAGCAGAAGATTGGCAAACTGTTTTCAGCTTGATGAAGGCGTATTTGTCCTTTCCGATTCTGGCTACACTTTACATCTTCATCCATTCCACCTGTGTTGGAAACCGTGATTTTCAGATACGTGATCAAAGTAACCTCTGCTCATGACTCATATTCATACTGAACTGTATTCATAATGAATTTAAACTTCATGTGGATGAATGATAATATCTGAAAAAGAGAATGTCGTAGAAGGTCATGTATTTGTGTAATTTAATGACCTAATTTGAATAAGAAAACAAAAGTTTTTTTTACACCAGTGAAATAATAAGGAATAAGGGAATTTATATCGCTAGGAGTGCAGCTTTGCCTGATTTACACAGTATTTAAATTCCAAGGGAAAATATACAAACAAACTATGGGAGTTGTCATGCGGTCAGCAATACCCCCTATTGTAACAGATATATCCATGGAGAGGAGAAAAAACTTAGCGATTGACACGTTCAGCTCCACCCCATAAGTATGGTGGAGGTAATTAGGTGACACATTCACCGTGCTTAGAACTCAGGATATAAATGGATTTTCCAAAACATCAACTCGATGATGGAGGCAATTCAATTCATTTATAAATTACAAAGTTAGGAAGGAGAGCTTCCAATGTTCGACTGTAGTGTTTACAGGAAAAAAGCACGCACATTCAAACTGATATTTGGATTTCTAATCTCACCCTATGACAGCAAAATTAGCAGTGGTGAAATGTTTAAGTAATAGGGTACAAAACTAAGTAGTACCAAGGAAAGTCTAAGACAGGAAGTGCGGCATATGAGAGAAGCTTTGAAACTCAATAATTACCATGGTAAATTGATCAGGAAGTAGGAATGTTTTAAACAAATTTAAAAATGAAATAAATAATAATAGTGGAATTTGAAGTGGACGTCCTTCCTTATATCGGCGTAAACGGAAGGTTTTTATGACTGACTGTTTTAGAATCTAGGCCACTATATTCGAACGAGATGTCGTATTTAAAAAGCTTATGGATCATCTATTTTATCAGCTTTATAAATACTCTGGATCCTGCTATGAATATATACGTGACTAGGCGTCAGTCTTATTACATATTAATGAAGATATAACGTTGACCCTTCTTTCATTTCATCAACATTTCATAGGCCATTAGCTGCAGCTGTAGCTGAACGTCTATGGTCTCAAGAGCAGTCTGAAACAGATGAATTCGCACAACGCTTACATGATCTTCGATGTCAAATGTTGAGGTAAGTTATACGATTTGAATTATTCATAACATTACTGATATGTTATAATGTCCTTACTTCGAAATGGCAGCCTGCTTATTAATCACTGGTGCTACAAAAATTTCCATACATCAAAATGCTGCTTAAACTCTTCAGCATTTCTTATTGTTTAAATCGTGCAATTTTATCATCAAATGACCAATATATCAATATATATCGTGTGCATATTTGATAATTAGTTTCCCACTTTACGCCGTGCGATTCTTGAAGGAATTGAAGAAAAAATGTGCAGAATTGGTTTTCTCTTCATATGCAACAACACTGCGATAAGTGAAATACTTCAGATTATCGCTTTACATGTAAATTCTGTATGAAGAGGAAATATTTTGGAACCAGATAGGCTGAAAATTGCTACAATATATGTAGCACTCCAGAGTTGAAAAGAATGGAAGAAAAATACCTACTAACGACTGTCTTCAAAAAGAATGGTTATCCACAAAATTTCATCAAAAAGTGTTTAAAGTCGAATCAAAACACCAACAAGGAACCATCATCAAAGACCACAAGAAAATTCATTCTACCATACATGAGAAATATCTCTGAAATAACAGCTAGAATACTGAAACCGTTTGATGTAGATATAGCACACAAGCCAGTCAAATCGCTTAATTCGATATTATGCAAACCGAAAGATCCAACAGAAAAAGGAGATAAAATTAATACCATTTACAAAATAAATTTTATGGACTGCAACAGGCATTACATCGGCCAAAATGGGCGTCCCCTTCGAATCAGAATCCAAGAACACAAATCAGCCGTGAAAAGACACGATATATATTCTTTAGTATCAATGCATATAGACAATTATGGTCATCATTTCGATTGGGATAATGTCAAAATCTCAGACAGAGGAAACACGAAAAGTGCCAGGGAATTCCTAGAAGCCTGGTACTCAAACGAAAATGCAATTAACAAACACGTTAATATAGACGAAATATACCAACTAATAAAAAGTAAATCAGGTGACCAGAAAGTTTAAAATCCAAGTCAATAGAAAATGGTCAATACATATGTAAAGATGGTTACCGGGAGACGCAATTATATCACTTATGCAAAAATTGAAATCATTTCACTTTATGCTAAATATTGCGCTGAAGATGTTGTCCAGCAGGGGACGACGAAAGCTCCGCAACTAAACCAACCAGCTCAGAGAACACTATTAGTCACAATATATGTCCACATATTGTCTGAAATAAAGGTTTATTATTATTATTATTACACAACAGTAGCAGTGTGGTGACGGTTGTCTGCTAGCCAAAATTGGTAGACAGCAATTTACGTCAATATTTACGTCCCAAATCTTGGTCTTGAGAAAAAAAGACAAGAACGAATTCTAAACATGAGGAACTCTACCACCAATCATAGCAGACTTAGCGTGGACGGATAAGATTCGTAGATATATCATCGGACTGTCTAAGAAACGGCACCAAAGAGATGTCAGAATAACCTTCAGCAGGAAAGCAACCAATCAGAAGACGTTGCTTCTCTGCTAACCATATCGCTAATAATAATGTACACAAAAATCTATGAATATCTGTTGCCTGACGACTTGTCTTCTGTCGTTACAGTAGTAACAGTATCACTGCATGAACACTTTCATATATTCGGTGGGATTGTTGAATGATAAATGGGTTGATGATCGAGTTCCATACACAAACTACCTGTATGTCTGTAATCAAGTACCCATCAAGTACCTACTTAGTAATGTTTTCAAACAGTAAATTGATACTGACTGGGATAAACTCTCAAATTTAGAAGTTAGAACACAAGATTTGATGAGAACTGTGCATCGGTGGCACAGCGGTTTGGACTCTCATCGACCATGCACATGTTCTGGGGTTCGACTCCTTTTCGACGCACACCTGAGTTCAATGGTCGGCCTGCAAAATTTGGGCTACCGATATCATAAGCTGAAAATTCTATACTTGTGCCAAAAATACGGTGTGGATTCAAGCTATAATCAAAATTAAAAATATATACATATGATGTCAACTTTTGCAGCCCTTTTGTTAACACTACACACTATTCATCGCGAGCACTTATCAAGAGAATGTGAAAGCCAACAGTTAGCCTAAAGCCGTATTTGACTAGTGAAATCATTACTTAATGCTTGCTTGAAGTTGTCTGCCTTCCAGTTAGAGAACCAGTGAACAGAAGAGGACAGAAGATGGACAGCTGTTTCTTCTCTCTCTGCCACTCTTCAGAAATGTGCGCCTGTGATCCCATCAGACATCGAATTGAAGACCTTCAGATTACTAGGCGACCTAGTTGACTATTCAGACGCAGACACAGAATCCAGTGGCCTATTAGTTGTAACTTCTGATCGCTGGTGACTGACTAGAAGCGTATGCTGCCAGGAGATGAATTGAGAAGCCGTGACCAGCGGGTGAGATGACGTATACTCACCGATGACAATGGGTGGTGGTCACCACCTATATTGAGAAACTGGAAATAGTTGTAGTTGATTGGGCAATGAATTCTGTCCCGGCGGATGAATGGTCAACTAGCAAGACTTGTTCTCTGAGGGTCCTGGTTAGGAGGTCCAGGAAGTACTAATTCCTGGTTTCCAATAGTTCTGTAACTAGAGTTAGTTCTTAAATGAACTTGAAATCAGTTATATCTCTGCAAACTAACATCTGAAAATTTCTTTGTGTTGTCAAAAAGAGAATACTGTGAACTTAATTCTAGATCACCTTATCTGTGTTTGCATTGTCTTATGCGACACAAGGAAACACGTTTTTCAAGCATTCAGCTTATTTGTTTATTTTTTATTTTTTTATTTCTGGTTACGGCTTGATGCCACACCGTATTTTCAGTACAAGTATGGAATTTTCAGCACGGATATCGGTAGCCCAAATTTTACAGGCCGACCATAGATATCGGGTGTGCGTCGGCAGGGGATCGAACCTCGGACCATGTGCATGGTCGGCGAGAGTCTTAACCACTGTGCCACCGACGCTTATAGGCTTTCGAGGTGATCAAAGTCACAAATTATCACTCTTTGATGCGACATACTTCCATAAAATGAGTTATAGGCATCAGTCACCGTTTGGTTTATCCCTACAAAGAGAATGGGACTCGAAATGTTTTTCCTAATTATGTTTTCACAAAACAGTAACGCTATGTTACCTAGAATTTTGGAAGATTAATTTACGAAGTATGATATCAATAAACTGCGGGTTTCATATCATGTAATATGATGTCATTCTATAAATTTGAATCGAATGTCTCATGTCAAGTCGTTTGTTGACCAATTCTTCTATGAGATGCATCGATTTCAATATAGACGGGAGAAAATTTGGACAAGAATACGGTTGTACAGTTTTCGACATACAAAACACTGAAATGAAGTCACCAAAAATACCAATTGAGTTTTAAAGAAAAAATAAAAGACAATACAGTGGAGAAAATTTTCTTTATGGACGAAATCATCTTCACATGCTGTACAAGCGTATTCATATTTACCAAAAATGCACAGTAGTCTTTTATTAAGTAATAGGGGGGGGGCGATATAATTGATTTAATTACTTAGGAGTGGTTTCAAAAGTCAAAAATATAAGTTGCATATTACATAATACTCAACGGCACAAGGTAAGAAAGCGTTGGAAATGTGACAAGGTTAAATTTGTTATTGAGTGAGAAGACGTTAGTTGAGTGTCAATTTAACAAATGTGAAGAGAAAATGTATGAAAGGAACATGTAAGAGTGATAATAATGAATTAATTATTAAATTAAAGGCAAACTAATCATTAAAAATAAAAAATAAAAATATTTACAGGGAACGACTAGTGATGAGGTTAAGACCGTGGTAGAATAACAGACTGAACAAATGTTTTCTGTATAGAGTTCGGGGTTGTACCGACGAAATGTCAACACCTCCTCAATAGAAAAATGCCGAAACCTGACGCCCATTGTACCATTTGACCTCACCGTGTAGATAATCTTAAAAGATGACTCTGGTGGAGCTACGTAGCTTAAGTTCGCCAAGTGCTCGAGAATTAAGACAGTAAGTGACTTGCATTATACTTTTGCAAACCATGCCGGATAATTTTCAGAGATGCATTTGGAAGGTGTGTTCTTTATGCTGTGACTATAACTAGCTCCGCAGGAGCAGGTGAATTTGTAAACACATACTGAAGTGGCTGTAGAAACTGATCCGTAGCTCAGCTGAAAAGAAGGCTTTCTCAGTGATTTCGGTAATTGATTCTCGAGAATCGCAGCCGCTGTATCACCTTTTAAATCCACGTTCATAAATATCAGTTGCTTCGGCACAGTCTGGGTTCTTTCAGATTTTTTTGCCTTACTTTCGTGTTTTTCTGGATGAATCCTAAAGGATATGCATTCTCCACGAGGACCCGTCTGAGTATCTCCAGTTGGTGAAGATTTTTATGACAAACGATCTTTTGAAGCTGAAAGAGAAAGTGCGAAATGGGTCTGAATAAGGCGGTTTATGCAGAATGAGATGACACTACCGTTCGTGTTGTCAGCTTCTCATCACCTGCGCATAGCCTAAAGCAGATTGAGTAACTCGCCAACCAGAATCTATCCTACAGCTAGGTTTGTAATCGTTTATTGCGCAACATGCTCTTTAGTGCAGCTGATAATCGACAGACAGAGGTCTAATGTTAGCTCCAATTATGTATACAAATTTACATGTATTTTTGGCATTGAGAGAACAGAAGGAAGGGCCCACCTTTATTATTCTGGTCATAAACCAAAAATTCTTCATCCCAAGGTGACAAAGGTTTCCAATAGTGCCACTGCCTGGCATCTCATTGGCAAGATAATCTAGTTAAATTCTTCTTAAGTCTACCGAAGCAGCTGTTATCAAACCCCTGAAAACTGATTCACGTGCTCAGAAGGGAGTAACTGTCAGTCATTTGTTGCTCTGACTCCAGCTTCTTTTATTTGATTAATTCATTTTTGGCCTTAACCTCTTCGTCTTCACTATAATGTAGTTTTGCTTGTCTCCTATTTTTATGACTCCAGTTGAATTCAACACATTGTTACTCAGCTTATTAGTTACTCATCCTCTTATCCACTTCCTGTCTTTATTACGTAACTCTTTTGCCATTGTACTTATGCATTTGTTTTTCGTTTAGACTTGAACATTCTGTGTATAGCCTGAGCGATATCCATTAATTTTGGATTCTCCTCTCAATACATATTACGTAGCATTTACAAGTACCGTGTTCTTACTTCGCTCACATTCGATGAAGAGGAATACATTTTTGATGTTGAACGGATCAGTGAGTGATATAATACCACTTGTAGAAGTCTGACGCTACAGTTTTACTCTTCAGGCGCCGCTTAAAATTTGATTAATTTAGCTTATGACCAAAACTAAAATTATCCAGAGGAGTGGGTATTTTCACAATTCCATGTTTATTCCTTTTCTATCTGCAGATGGGGATGGCCTGCTCAAGTAGTAACTGGACCTGGATTCTGTTATCCATAAATGGAAGTGACTGTTAACATCTTCATCAGGAGGAGATTCTATTCATCGATGATATTTTGTGCTAAATCAATAATACAACTCATACATACATTATATTATTATATTAATTTTCTTTATTATTTTTACTCTCTTGAGTTCAGAGTGGAACTTAGGGCTTCAACAACACATCTCTATATTCTTCTGTCTTCCGCTGTCCTCTTCATTTGGATGGCTACAACACTGTTGATAATGTCTCATCACCTACTCAACCTTACACGATCTCCTACATGTCACCTTTGCACTGACGAAGCACCAGTCACCAGTGGAGTTCCACTTGAGTGGTGGCCTGCATTGCGCGCGATGTCATTCGATGGCCTCCTCAGTGGCGTATGCCCTATCTATCTATCTCTATTTTCTCCGACATATTCGCTAAGCAATCGGCTGTTACCTGTTGATTTGTTCCCCGTCAGCCACAGTTCCTTGTTACTAATTCTTTCTGGCTAGCCTGCAGACCGGCCGGCCATTCGGTCTTCAGAATGGAGCCAATGAAGTCGACAGCTGTTGATAAAAGTCTGCTTAACTTGTTGGAAATCCTCTTCATGAAGCACGCCGGTCAAATTTCTGACTCGTATAGAGGAAGTTACTAACTGACTTCACATTTGTGTTGAACACAATCCGAATCTTGTTCTTTACTCTGGGTGAGTAAGAGCATTGGATTTGAAAACTGCTTTCAGGTTGATGAAGGTGTATCTCGCATTTTCGATACTGGCTGGCTGCTGTTGACATCTTCATCCGTTCTGACTGCTTGTGGTTGAAACTATGATGGTTATTGGCGGTAGTTGTTGTTGTTGCTGTTGGTGGTGGTTAGTTGGTTATCTTCATCACCTCCGCCCTCTGTGTTCACCTGGAATGGAGTCCTGTCTTCGCTGACTGTTTCTTCAGTCAGTTTGTTGGTTTTCGTCTGCAAGTCTTCAAGTTTCTGTGTGTGACATTCAACATAAATCATCTACAAACGATATCCAGATCTTCTAGAGTCAGTCTTCTTATCGGTCAGTGCAGTGTATTCTTGTCTTCTCACTGCTAACCCACAGTCTGCCTCATAATCAAGTTCACGACAATTAAGAATATCATTGATGATAATCTGCAAGCAGCCTTGGCATATTCCTTAATTCACTTCGAACATATTGCTGAGTTTTCCGCTGTGGATCACCTGACATGTGGCATTGTCATATAGCCAGCTGTTGAATAAAGATGATAAGGATTTGAGCACTGCGCGCCGTAGTGTTGAAGCAGTTTCGAGATTACTTCTCGGTCAACGCTGTCTTTCGAAAGCCTTTTCGAAATAGATGAAGGAGTTTGAAGTGTGCGTTTGACTGTTGTTCTATGCTTAGTTATCTGATGACGAAGCGTAGAGTTGCAATTTGATCAGCACATGACTTGTATTTCCTGAATCTAGCGTGTTGCGGTGGGTGGAGTTCTGCATCCAGTGCATCTTATTTATTCTCTCCCGAATGACGCGACTTGGTATTTTGCTTGGTGTGGACAAGAGAGCGTAGAATTCCAAGTTACTAATCCAGGATTTTGCGGATGACTTATGTTTGATGTCACACAAAATCGAAAGCTCACAAGCGGAAACCGACAAACTGGTCGAAGAAGCAACAAAGACAGGACTCCACGTGAACATAGACAAGATGGATGTTACGAAAAAAACCAATCAACAGCAGCAATATGCAGCGCTAATCACCATCAACGGGAGGGAATTGAAAGAGGTTACTTCATTCAATTATCTAGGGCGCATTGTCTCAACCACGGGAGGAACGGACGAAGATGTCAAATCGAGAATCGGGAAGGCGAGAAACACATTCATCAACCAATCTGGAAATCTTCGTCATTCAACTCAGCATCAACAACAAAATTCGGATTTTCAATACAAACGTCAAGTCAGTCAGTTTTTCTATACGGATCAGAAACTCGGCGGCGGGTCACAAAGAATATATCCAACAGCCTGTTGCAGACCTTTATCAACAAATGTCTTCGCTCAGTACGGAAGATCAGATGGCCGGAAAGCACAAGAACCAACAAGAAACTATGGGAACAAACAAAACAAGAAACAATCACCCAACAAATATGCAGGAGAAATTGGAGATGGATTGGACACTCGCTAAGAAGGCCACTGGGTGACCGCGCGTCAGTCAGGCCATAGCTCAAGTGGAACCCGAAAGGGAAGCAGCGAGTGGGACGTCCAAGGGTGACATGGAGGAGATCGTGTGAAGAGGAATTGAAACAGTATGGATTGACATGGATGCAAGTGAAAAGTACAGCAGAAGACAGAAGCAATTGCTGACGTGCAGTTGAAGCCCTATGTTCCACTAGGAACCCACGGGAACAATAATAATATAATGATCCAGAGTTGACAACTACAAATCCTTTATATTAACAATGGTCACCACTGTTTCCATAGCTTCGTCACTGATTCGTCTATTTATCGGTCTCACATAGTAATATCTGATAATAATAAAAGGTACAGAAAGTAGTGGATAACTGTGAGAATTTACTATATACAGTGATACTACTCACTAGTAGTATATCTCCTCTATCTAAGAAATTCGAGTATTAGCTGAGATTTGATGCATATTGTGGTTGTGATTCCACGAATAGTGAAATCAAGTAGTTTGCATAAATATTCCAGTATCATGGAGTGTCATGGAGTAACTGTTCATGTTAAGCGTCAGTAATCAATAGATAATAAGCAGTTTTTAACAGAGATTTTGTGATTACGACCACTCACCAACGATGTGTAGCTTCATACTTGAAAATATTTGACTAACCGATCGAATTTTCAATTCAAGAAATTCTAAGGATGAGAAAGATTGACTTATTTTGAGACTTTCACACATTCTGAAAATGTTCCATCAGGCGACAGAACTTTTGGACATGTGTAGAGCCAGTTTACCAGTTCGCTGATAATATCCAAACACGCGGATTCCTAAATACACCGTTTAAGTGTATGTGTATATGATGCATTTATAGAAGAGACACATTACACACAATCTGTGAAATAGTTGGCCATGATGAATGCCGAGTAGCAGTATAATTGCGTAACTTCTTTGAGTCTGTCACTTGTAAAGTTGTATGAAAGATTTCGAATGAAATGGTTTCAGTTAACTGGTAGTTTGGCTGCCAAATGTATTCTATGGCTGGTAAGTTGTAACTGCGTAGGTCTGATTTACTGCAGAGTGGATTGCGCTATAAATTGACACCTTTGTTAATAAGTAATAAAATCGTGTGGCGATAGTAAGCTATTTAATCGAATTCCATACTAGTTTGGAAATATTTAATACTCTACCATCATGTCAGTGTACATGTCAGGCAGCCTACCATCCGATCGAAAGGCAGAAATCGAATTGCCCATGAGTTATAACTCTTGCTAATCTGCTACATAGTGTTAGTATAATTTGATTTCGCGCAGGATTAACTTTTATTTCTCTCACACAAGGACGTGACATTGGAACAAAAATTGATGCGATATTGAAGTTGGTCAGTTAAGATTGGTCGACTATACTGTGGACTATAATCTTCTAATCTTTTGTCATTCTCCAACTGACGGTGGTCAGTGAGCGAATCACTCGACGCGACATTCTATGATATCTACTCACAGATTAAAAATGAAATTCAGCTTGAGTCGAATGATGTCTATATGTGACTTAATGAATCATTAAAGTCACATCATTGAGTCTACAGATTTAGATGATTCATCTTAATCTGCTTGTGATTACTATTTGGGCTGTTTGTTCTTTCTTTCACAAACCAATTGAGTGATTCATCCACGGACGTCCATGCTGTCGTTTTCCTTGCCTCACGCGTAATGACACTCAGTGGCCTCCACACCATGTGTGTCCCCAACCCATCTACATTTTCTCAGACATATTTATTGGGCCATAAGATCTTGGATGCTAAGCTACTGGACTTCCTGCTTGCTCATTGTCTCTACCTAGCCATCTAATCTTCAGTATGTATAGGAAGCAATTTAAGGTAAAAATCTGCAGTTGTTCTTCCTAAAAGTGCTTCCTTTGTCATGTGCAATAAGTGTTTCAATCATATGCAGGCACTGATTGGACAAATACCTCTGAAGATCCGAATATTTTTCTTTGTGCTCAGTTCAGATGTCTTTCACACTGATTGCAGTGTGATGAAGGGCTGTTTTACCTTCCCAATCCATGTCGTTCTCATTTATGTCACCTTTAGTTGAAATGATGCTGCCTAGATGGAGGAAAGAGGTGATATTAATTTTCTCTCAGTGAAGCTGATTCATGTTTAATTGTTGGTTAAATGTCTTCATCAACTCTGTCTTCTCTGTGTTCATTTGAATTCTCGTCTTCATTGTCTGCGACAGACAGTCAACCTGCTGATTTTCACCGATAATTCTTCTTAATTTTGTGGTTTTATATACCATTCATCTCCAAAGTCCAAATCTTCCATAGTCTTGTTAGTTCAGCGTATTGCCGTTGTCTCGTTTCTCACGCTTCATCACATAATCCTAACAACCACAAATCAGAAGTATAGAAAAATTCCAGCTTAGACATTTGGAAAGCAAAAGGACTGAGTGAAGAAATATTCACTCTTCAATTAGATTCTTATCTCTCCTTGTCTCTGTTCTAATTTATACCTATAGCACTTTTATTACAATACACGACAGTTTACCAATCAAGTGACACTGATATGTTTGTGAACAATAATTAGTCGATTTCAGCATGCCAATGGAGGGTGATAATTACCGAGGAAAATGAATACACACAATTAAAAGGTATAAATGGTTACAACAATGGATTGCATAGTGCATAATTTCGGAAGAATGAAGAGTGATTAAGGCGTGAAACAGTGTTCAAGATGATTACATAATGAGTAACTAAAAGTGAGTAAAAATGATTTGGACAACGGTGACTTGTATTTCAAGGTGAAGCAGTCATAAGAATAAACTAATTTAGACAATGATAACACGCGGTTGATGTAGTTGGTACTGGGTTCACCGCGTGTGCTTCCGCTGTATTTTGGCTGCC